CCATCCCTTCTTTTCTCTTACCCCCATTTTAGTGTGACTCCTTAACCTGCTCTAACCCTCTGGCTACCTTTCGTCCCATCTATTACCCCCTTTGCTGTTCCAGAGGATGGCTGGTGGAAGTGATGGTCACAACACTTTGGCCTCTGAGTGAGGAATTTTGGTAGGGTTGAGAGTGGGGCACTCTGTTCTAGAAGTGAGGGGTAGCTTCCACTCTAAACACAGGAATTCTGAGGGGATTGAGGTGTGGGTTTGTGGAAGAGAGGGAGAAGAAAGGATGTTTCATGATTTCTCTATTTCCTAAATTTCTGGCTTTTTTTCCTTCTGTCCAGATTTTCTTAAAAACTCAATTGTCTGATGTTGCTTACATCTTTCTCTACTTCTGAAAATTATAGAACCTTTCAGAAGACTCTGAGAGCCTCTTGCCCATACTTCTTTTAGATTGCCCTCTAATAGTGTAATATCTGACGTCAAGAATATTCATATAACAAAAGTTTGTTAAGAAATTATTATAAGCAGGCTCTGTGTTAAGTGCTGAAAAGACAAAGATGAAGAAGATCCACCCCTTCTTTCAAGGATATCACAGTCTCTAGAGGGAGATAGACACACAAAGACGTCATTTAGTGGGATAAGGATTCTGATGGAGATTCTCTGAGGTAATGGGGACATTGAGAATGGAATGCCAAATGATAAGTCAGGGAAGTCTTTCTAGAGGAGGTGGTACTTTAACATAGATATGAAAGATAAATAGGAATCTACTGGCTGAAAAAGAGGAGGGATTTTGTGCCAGATGGAGGAAATAGCTAAAGCAAAGGCAGCAGGGCTTTTTCATGGTACAGCAAACCCATAGTTTGGCAAGACTGGAGAAATAGTCGTGATGAGTGAAAATGGATGGAAAATGAAATGTTTAAGAATATTTTCCATCGAGGAGTTTCAATATTACTAATGATTTCTGAACCTAAGTGGTAGGTATGTAGTTCATTATCTCATTCTTTCTTCAATAAATATTTGGAGATTGTGTGTGTTTAAAAATTCTGGAAAGCCCATTATATGCTTTAGGGTGGTAGTTTCTGAATTTTTTACATCAAAAACATGCCACAAGGGTTATATGAATTACTTAGTCACTATATGGAGTATCAATGTTAATGTCAGTGTTTGGAGGAGAGGGTATGATGATTCAGGATTTCTCTCCTGCTTCAGTTCCTAGCCTACAGGGATACTTAGTTTTTATCATAGGTTTGTTTGAATTGTCACATAAAACATTCATATTCGTGTACATTCACAGTGGGATATCAAAAATGAATCAAGCAGATTCCATGTTGCCAAGCTACTTATGATTTAATAGGGGAGCTAGGAAAGATGTACGTATTTGCTGTATGAAAAGCTAATAATGTATGTGGGAGTTTGGGGAAGGAGAGGAAATCACATATGTCAGATATTTTGGGATTTAGGGACTGGTCATTTACTCTGTTACTGTCAGTCTTGTTCCCAAAGTGTCTGAGGCATCAGAAACAACTATTCTTGGTGCCCACATCTCAGGGTTCCTAGACTGACAAAAGACAAGTTAGTAAAACTTCCAGTGAGTCATCAGCACTAATCAGGGACCTCTTGACTGTTGTTATTGTGGTAGGATACAGAAAGAAAGGTGACTGGTGCTTCCTTAAGGGTGCAGAGATGGGTGTAACCCCTGAGAAGGTGTGAGGGCCGTGCTAGGCTGAGCCAGCACTGTTTAGTGCCCCTTTCTGGCAAGTACTAGTACAAGCATGTCCCTTGAACCTGCCTTTCCAGTGCTTTTCCATTAGACTGTCAGAATTACCTCATCATTGCCAGACAGGCCTCATTAAATTGCATTGTTGAAAGATAGATGGTTTTTATTTTCCTTGCAAGCCATTATGTAACTTAAATCTGTGCAAGCCTTATTTTCTCAGATTTTGACTGTTATAAAGTTAAACCCATCTCCATTTAGTTCTTACTCTCTTTCTAGTCAGATTTTTCTTTGAATTGTCATAAATCTTCTTTGATACGTGTTTACATTTTAATGTTACCTACTTTAAGCCTCTTTCCTCTTTTCATCTCCTACAGGTTTTCATTTTGTCGTTGTTTTTGGCTTTAGTGGCAGCCCCTCAGATCCCAAATCCTTGTTTCTCCTTATTCTATCAGTTCCTACATCGACGTTTACTCTTTTTTTGCCTGCTACTTCAGGTATCTTCTCTAAGTCTCTGACTCTTCCCGCTTCTCAACTGTGCTTTGTAACTTCAGGAAAAATCCTGAGATAGTTCTGTGAAGTTTGCCTTTGCTGCCTTTCATCCCACTTCTCCGGTTTCTTTTCCTTCCCTCGCCCTAGCTCTGTCTTAAATAAAATCAGAACAAATGTGCTGCCCAGCGACTGTGAGCCAGGGACTTGGCCACCCTTAGAGGGGTTTCAAATACAACTTAAGGACATACAGTCTAGTGTGGGCAGTAGATAGACCCATAAATAACTAAAATAAGGTCTGAACTGTCATGAATGAGATATTTGAGGGACTCACAAGATAATGAGGACCAAAACTAGAGTACAGATGGAAAGGGGAATGAGGAGCATTGCAGGAAAGCCCCACCCTCTACCAGCTAATCAAGACAGAGTGAGTTGTATGCCATTGGACCTCCCCTGTCTTGCTGGGAGCTGTGTCCAGTCTGATTCGCTTTGGTTAGTGTTATCATTTGCTAACTGCTTCTGTTTTACCAAGAAGCCCTAACAGACTTACAGGTATGTGTGTCCACCCCAATTTCTGATTCCTGTCTGACTCTTGCTGCCCTGTCCCATTTCTAGATTTCTCATGGGGTCTTGGGGCCTTGTCTTCTTGTCTTCCTTCCCCCAGTCTCTGTACTGAATGTGGCTGGACAAGTTTAGTCCTGTTCTTTGGGGCTGCCATGTGTGTTTTTCATGGGAGGCTTAGGGGAAGATTGGAAAGTAGGATTGGAAGTGACAGAGGCAATAGGAAGGGGCATTGTCAGGTTGAGATTCCTCTGGGTTTTAGCAACTAAGGTATATATATACACCTCTCAAATTGACCCAGTTCTAGTGTAGGTGTTTCTGCAGTCACTGTTAAAGATGGAAAAGAACCATAAAAAGACAACGGTAATAGTAGACTGATTTCTGACCTATTTCTCCTTGGATACTTTCCCAAGAAATAAAGTTAAAATCGATTTCTTTAGAATAAAAGGAAGTTGGTTATCAGGGTGATGTTTGGTCTTTAAATATCTTATCTCTGGTGAATATAAGAACCTTAGTCTCCCTCTACTATCTATTGTTAACACCTAGCTTTTGGAAATTGGCAAAGTACCTGCTCATTCCTCTTTTCAAAATACTTGTAAAAATCTGAGCTATTGACAAAGAACACAAAGGCGCTTCTTTCTAGATTTTATTAAAAATCTCCTCAGGTTTAGAGCATGTCATACATACTTCTGCAAACTTACTTGGACCCATTTTGCTTTTTTTTACTTTCATCAGTCATGACTTGGAGTCTCACATATTACATATCTTTTCTAGCACCAGTAAATCCTTCCAGAGAAAATTACAGAAATACCAGCTTTCTAAAGTAAGCTTCAGAGAGGGAGCAGTTGGTACATAGAAATGTTTATTGAATGAGTAAGAATTTAGTAATGTGTACAGATATTACCCAGTTTATGAACTGCGTAATTGGGGAAAAAGTTATAAAACAAATTGCAGTAACATACCTGACATGTAACACTAGCAATCACTTCTTATGGAAAAAACATGTACAAAGACATTCTTATATTGAACAAGACAGACATGGAGCTTATGTTCTAATGAAGGAAGAGAAATAATAAATGAGCAATAACATAACAATAATAAGTTCAAGTAGCAGAAAGAGCTCTGAAGAAAATAGAGAAAGGCGGCAGTGGTGGTGTTTTCGTATGTGATGTATTCCTGAAAATGGGCATCACGGTTTCATGTACATATGTTTTAAAGGGAGGCTCGTTCCTGAGGAATCCAAGAAATCATAAAACATCTCTTCAACATGGAGTTTGGAGAATTCATTCATGTTAATATCTTTTGTTCTTTTTCTTCTGCATTGACCCAAAGTCCAAAATTGGCTTACGACCAGAGTTTCTATTTGAGGCTAAAGATTCGCTGCTTCAGGAACCCCTTGTGGTCACCATGTACCTTTCATGATGTTCAGCCTACAAGAGCCAAACTTATTGTTGGCCATATTTACTACTTTTAACATTTTCACTCATCTTTATAAAATAATGAGGCAAAATACTAGACAACAGTACTTTCTCAATTTTTAAAAAAATTTGCAACAGAACTTTCTTCAAAGAAAATTCCAGATGTCCAGTGTGTAAAACACATGTGGCTCCAAGCCACACGCTTACTCTCTTCTTCTCCACACCCTAATGGCTCCTAAGGAATTCCTGAGAAATCACCAAGGCTTTGCAGAGCACAGGATGAAAACCACAATAAAAAATGCAATTTGTAACTCCTGCTTTAAAAAGATAGCTGTGCTGCCGAAACTGGCCAAGCCTCCACACCAGTGATTCCAAATCATGTTTGAAATCCATGAAAGTTCACATTTACTGGAAAAAATAGATTCATATGTCACATTTTAACCTCAGTTACATTTTCAGGTAACATTTACTATATAAAGCAAAGTCGTAGTTTCGTTGTAGCTATTTCTTCAGAGCATACTTTTCCCCCAGTTTTATTGAGATATAGCTGACATACCACACTGTGTAAGTTTAAGGTGTACTGCATGGTGATTTGACTTACATATATTGTGAAATTATTACCAAAATACAGAGCATGCTTTTCATATAATTTGGGCATGATGGTACTGCGAGGGCTAAAATACTTTTCATCTTCTAATTTAAAAATTAAATTTCATATTGGCCAAGATTTTTCATAAGTTATTTAATTATAAGTAAATCCATGATATGTTTTATATGTAATTATAAAGTAATTGATTTGCTATTTCAAAACTTTTTTTCTCATCTTTTAGTTTGCCAGGGTTTGGATACCTGATCCCGAGGAAGTTTGGAAGTCAGCAGAGTTGCTCAAAGATTATAAGCCAGGGGATAAAGTCCTCCTGCTTCACCTTGAGGAAGGAAAGGTAAATTAACATTAACACTTCATTGACATAAAGTGAAGGGAGTTCAAAATTGTTAGTTTGCTGTGATGTATTTGACTTCAGTTGGAAGGTAAATTTTGAATTAATCTAATATTTTTACTTACTGTATGATAAAAATGACAAAATGGCAAACAATTTTCTATTCCAAATGGGTTTGTAAAAATAGTAGATGCTTTAAAAGTCCATTATTTTGGTTCATGAATTTATTATGATTAGGTTTGGATTCACATCTAATCCTCCCAAATATGCCTGTTATGCATATTTTTTTTTCAGCTAGCATAAAATGTTGTCATATTAACTAAGAAAACATCATCTAAGAAGCTAGTCTGAGATTCAGTATTTGCTAGGACTTATCACTTGAAAAATATTTACTGAAAAGTTATCATGTATTAGCACTTGGCTAGTGACCAGAAAAACTTAAAACCAATTGTGTCTCAGTACTCTCCTGTCTGCATTCACTGCATAAGTGGACTCAGTTCCACCCTTTTTAATCTCTCCACTGCATTTGACAGCAGGTCACACTTTTTTCTTAAAACCTTTATGACATTAATTTCCTTTAAACAACTTATAGTCTAGCCAAGGAAACTAGATATAAGAACATGAAAAGTTAAATAAAATATAAGATGTAAAGAGTGGTTTAATACCACTAGGATGTCAAAGGTGAGTTTCTGATTAACTACCAAAAGAGTAATACTATCCTGACAGTTCACATATATTGAGCACTTCCTATGTGCCAGGTATTGTTTTAGTGCTTTACTTGCTATAACTCATTTAATCCTCACAACTCTTATTAGGTGGAACTATTATTATCACCACTTTGTGGTTGAAGTGGTAGTAGAGTTTAGGACTTGCTCAGGGTTATATAGATCTTAAAGGATGAAGCTAGGATTTAGAGCCAAGAAATTCATCTTCGTAGTCTACTCATAGTCACTATGCTATATTGTAATGACAATAAGGACTTTAAATACCAGTAGAGGGAAATTCATCATGGGCTGCTTTGTCAGAGAATGCTTCAAGGAGGAAAGATTTTGACTGGATCTTAAATGTAGATAGAATTTGGATTGAAAAAGAGAAAGAGGACAGACTCTGTGAGGATTGTATTTTGGAGATCATAAGTATAACAAGTTGACTGGAGCAGAGATTTAAAAAGATTTGTGTTCTAGTTCAAGGCTTGCATATTAAGATACCTACTGTATTCCATGTTTAGATGTGGCAAAAGGTGTGCTCTCTGACATCAGTGTCAGGTAAGAGAAATAGTTATATTTATGAATTGTGGGACCCATGATATAATAAATTTAAACAAGAAATAGAAGTAGAATAAAGCAGGGAGGGGTTGAGGGGGCTGCTGGTGAAGATAAGTAGACAGGGAGGCATTGTCTGAAGAATGACCAGACGGGGGGAGTGCATTTCAGGGATCCAGAAGAGCAAGGGGAAAGGCTGGGAGGCATGCACAGTAACGTCTGTTTGGGGAACTACACAGGTTTTATGTCATTGGGATGTAAAGTGGCAAGTACAGGACTGGCAAGAGGATGGGGGCAGAACCAGATCACAGAGGACCTGGTGTTCATGCTGAATCTCTTGGACTTCAACTGCTGTGCTACAGTTGAACATAGCTGATTGTAGTGTTTATAAACAGAGGTGCCAGGTTCGTGTTTTAGAAAGGACTCATTGGTGGCCCCATGGAGGATTTCAAGAGAGCAGCACAGGGATAAAGAGATGAGTTGGGAATAAGGTAAGGAAGAATTAGGTGAGATTAGAGGGCCTTGAATGACAAACAAGGGAGTTCATTTATTCAACAAGTATTGGTCATCTACTCTGTATTAGGTACTTTGGGCTATGTTTTCTTATATTAATTCTCACAGCAACACTGTATGTTGGTAGGTGGTATCAAACTATTTTCCAGATAAGAAGCCAAGGCTCAGAGACATTAAGTAGTTCTGCCTGAGATTGTACAGCCAGAAGTGGTTTTCTTTTATGTATTGCAGGGGCCAGTGCAAGGACCAGTTTATTATACCCTTTTAATAAACAGGCAGAGAGAGGTAGAGGGGGAGATTGTAAATTTTCTTCCCATTTAGCATAGTTCATTCCAACCAGTTTTGAATATTTGGCCTCTGTTTATCTTTTCAATATTAACAAAAGTGGCTTTTTAGAAAACCAGCTTTTCCCTCCCCACAATTAAATTGCATTTTTTCCCCTTTTCACTTGTTATATGTTATTTGCCTTTAATACATAGTTGAACTGACAGTTTCCATGTTTGGCTTTGCTATAAAGCCATATTCCCTTGGCTTTAAAGTGAGTAGTATTTCTTAACTTTTGAGGCCAAGCTAGAAGTACAAATTAGTAGTTGATAGATGGTCACGGGGATGGGGAGCATGGCATAGGGAATGTAGTTAGCATTAATATATTGGCTAGGTAGAGAGCCAGAGGAGAGAAAGAGTAATTAGGGGAATCATTTTATAAACTATATAAATGTCTAACCAATGTACTGTATACTGAAACTAATAAAATTTTAAAAAATCAAATGAAAACTGTGGATTGTCTTTCAAAAAAGTACACATATGTATATATATATTGCTAATATCAAGGGATTCTTGGGCTTCTTGGAGTTCAGAAGTTCCCAAGTATTTACCACATGCTAGGCATTGCCTCATTTAATTTTTACCACACCCCTGTGAGCTGTTTCTATTATGCCCTTTTTACAAAGGAAGGGTTTAGGTTAAATAATGTACCCAAGAACACAAAAGAAGTACCAGTTTTAGGATTTGAATCCAGGTGCATCTGATTCTAGAGCCAAGGTCTGGACCACTCTGTTATACTGCCTTTCATTTATCACAGGTGAAGAGGGGGAAAAAAAGAAAAAAGCTAAAATAAAGATTAAAAACTTTTGTTTCAGTAACTGGGAAAAATAATCTAGGCTATGACTTCTCAAGCTATATTAGCAAAAATTGTTAATAAAACTTAATACATCTAGTGAAAAAGAAAACTCTCCTTATTTTTTGCTGTTTCCATCAGTCTCTGTGCTTTTGGAAAGTGTCAGAAATATAATGTGTTTAAAACTGAGAAGCAACTGAGGAATAGGAAATAAGAAAAATACATGAGCTTGTTTCAGGTTTATGGCTGTGATTTATCCATATGCTATATTTTGTGTATTTTCAGGATTTGGAGTATCATCTAGATCCAAAGACCAAGGAACTGCCTCACTTAAGAAACCCTGACATACTCGTGGGTGAAAATGACCTCACGGCCCTCAGCTATCTTCATGAGCCTGCTGTGCTCCACAATCTCAGAGTTCGCTTTATTGATTCCAAACTTATTTATACATATTGTGGTATGTAGTGTGCCTTGCTGTCTCAGTGGACTGTGAATGCTTCCCTCTAAGGAGCATAGCCTTGGAAATAACTCTGCATGAGGAAAGGAGGATGCGGTTTGATTTTCTCTTAGAGACAAATTCATTTCAGGCTTATCAGAAAAATTTACTAGTGTTCATTAGCTGGTTGCATTTTATGTGAAGAAGCTCTTTTGTGAACTTACATAATTTTTCTCAAAATGAAAAGAACTGGGCCCGTTTTTGGATTTCCCCCCACCAGAGAAGTCGTATGTCAAATTCAATGCCAATTTGCCAGTTATTTTTCTCTCTTACAAAAACTACTACATGAAGAGTCATTGTCCAAAGACTTATGTTCAGGGCTGGTTTGAGTTGATTGTTCTCTTTTTCTCAATTGCTTGACTCGTAGTAACTATTTTAGCTTGATCTGCTTGCATGGGCCCATGCTCGTTGCAATATTTGCTCTCAGGGACCCAGCTCAGGATTCTTTATCTCTCTTTTAGAAATTAAGCATGCACATGTGTGTACATTTGGGTTCCTTTCCCTCTTTCCTTTTTTTTCTCTCTGTTTTCTTCTTATTCTTTATTTTCTCTATTGACTTCTTATCATTTTTTCACTACTTGTTCTTCTCTGAGACTCAGATCCAGGATTTCCATTCATTTCCTTCTAAGTTTATTTGCTTGGAGTATCCTACCCAGTGCTATAATTTCTTCATTACCCTCCTGTTTTAAACAGGAACAGATAGCTTTTCTTCTGAAAAGAATTTATATCTTTTATATCCTTGATATTAACTATTTTTCTTTTATATTAACTGAATATTTCTTTTTCTCAATTTTCATTTTTCTTTATTTTTTCTCGTACATATGTAACCTTCTTGGTGAAGCCTTCCCTTGCCCACCCTCCTATCTAAATCACAAACCCCTTGCCTCTTCCTTAGTATTGATCTCCCTTCTGTTTAATTTTTTCTCCTTTTTCCTTACTACTATCTAACCTATGATATATATTTTACTCATCTTGCTAATTGTTTGAATTTCTTATTGGAATATAAGGTCCTTGAGGATAAAGATTTGTCTTTTTTTGTTTACTTTTATAAACCTAGCACTTAGACTTGAAACATAATTGGAGCTGAAAAAATATTTGTTGAATGATGACTTCATTACGTTAATATACACCTACTGTAAAATGTAAGGAAATATAAGAAAGTATAAAAAGGAAGATAATTACATAAATAATAACATGTAATTCACCACCAAACAATAACCAATGTCATATTGACATATCCCATATGTGTGTGTATGTGAGAGAGTATAAATAGATATAAAATTGGAATCAGTCTCAGTTTTGTGTCATGTTTTCCTATGATACTTAATATTCTTTTAAAACATGATTTGTGGCGATCTGTCATCTGGATATTACAAAATGTATTTAACCACTGTTATATATTTTATCTGTTTTCACTTTTCACTGTTATGAATGACATTATGATAAACATCTTCATTTAAAAATAAAACCCTTTGCATTAATCTCTAGTTATTTAATTTGGATAAATTTTCTAGAAGTGGAATTTTTGGTTTAAATATTTAAAGTTCTTTGAACATTGCCACAATTTTTATTATTTCAAATAGCCTAGTTTAGTTTTTACATGGTGGTGTAGTTAGGACTAGGTATAATAGATTCAGAGGCAAAGGCTATGACATATTTTTATCCTTAACAATTAGTTAGTTCAGTATTAACTGAAATTGAAATTTGTGTTAATTTCGATTCTCATTTTACCAAGTTTGATGTGCCCATTAGGATATCATTGACTTCTTTTTCTTTTTTATTCCTTCCCCAGGTATAGTCCTAGTAGCTATAAATCCTTATGAACAGCTGCCTATTTATGGAGAAGATATTATTAATGCATACAGTGGTCAGAACATGGGTGATATGGACCCACATATCTTTGCAGTGGCTGAAGAAGCTTACAAGCAAATGGCCAGGTTGGTGGAAGCTCTATTTATTAATTCGCGACTGTTATTAGATGTGATAATTTCTTCTTTGCTGAGTTGCAGTATTTTAAAATACAGTGAATGGCAACTTGCAAATTATTATTAAATAAACAGCCTTAATGAAGTTTGTCTCAGATAGCCTGCATTGTTATTAAAATAACCTCACATTTGTAAAAGGACATCTAGTTTTTAAAAACTGCCTTTGGAATTTCATCATGATCCTGTGACTCTGCAAGGACGGATGTTATGTTGTACAGGTGAGTGGATCAAGGTTTGTTGTTATTAAGTGATTTGCCCAGTGTCATTCAGGTAGTGAATGGCAGCCCAGAACTAAAAGGCCTAAGAGCTGGGAGAAATCTGCCTGTATCTTAGGGAATTAAATCTCAAGGAAAATATGAGTTTTAATGTTAGCGTTATGTGCTAGGGCATTAGCGATTCTGAACAGCATCAGCTAAAAATGTCTTTGACATTAACCATGGAACCCTTACATTTTGAGAGTGGAGATTGGAAGAAAAAAGCTGCTTTTAAGACTAGATTACACTCTTAATAATGTAATAAAAAACTATGTATGCATAAAAAAAATAGTATATGTTTAAGTTATTTCTCCAGCCTACAGGTAAGAAATTGGCATGTTATAAATATGATATGGGAAACCCTAAAGCAATTTATGAAGTGGAGAGAAAACTAATACTGCAGAGGTTATTATTTTTTCTTTGCCAACCAGGGAGAGAGTTTATTTATACATAACTGTATCAGCGTACGACAGAATTTTAGAATTATTTCAATAACAGAGTCCATAGAAGATGATATGCCCTTTTGATAATAAAATATTATTAATACTTCTAATTAGCAGCAAACAGTTATTAAGTACTCTTTCTGTGTAAGACAGTGTTTATTTGCCTTCCATTTATTAACTAATTTTATCCTCATAGAACCTTCTGAGGTTGCTATTGTTATTAATCTTCATTTTACAAATGAGAAAGCTGAAGCACTGAGAAGTTATGTAACTTTCCCAAGGCCACATAACTAGGAAGAATAGTTTTCTAATTCCATTAGCCTGACAATGTGAAATATTAACATATTAAATATAAAATGATTAAACATAGTTTTGTACTATATAACATGCCATATTATACCAGCTTCTACTATAGAATAGTAACAAGTATCACAAGTTTAAGAAACTATATATTTTTAAGCTTAAAACTGAGAAAATTTCATCTATCAGTATTACTGTTTCCCTAAAGTTAAAAAAAAGCTCACCAGTATTTTGTATAGAATTGAAGCATCGCAGTACAGAGTGAACACCACAGGTATAACCTGAGAACTACCAGGCAGAGAAGGAATTGCATGGAATTCTAGAGCCTAAAAATAATTTCTGAAAAATTTTATAATGCTCATAAAGAACTATATCACTTATTTGAAAATATTCTTCTTAAATATGAAAGCTTGGCTCGTACCATCTTTATTACTGGTAATTCACAAGTAATGTTAGATTTATATAAATATTTCTAACCTTTTACCCTTAGATTTACTTTGGTTTTCTAATATCCTCCCCCGCCCCCATTATTTCCTATGGCTTAGCCACTCGATGTGATTTCTTAACTGGAGACTTATTTGTTGTTTTTCTTAATAACTGGAGGTTTGTTGGTTTGTTGGTTTGTTGGTTTGTTGGTTTGTTGGTTGTTTTCTTGACTTATAGTCAGGCATTGATGTTGGAGGTTCATTTCTTGCCATTTTTTCCTTTACCAAATGAAGATGTGCCATCTTTACTATATGTGAATCCTGGTGTTTCTCATTACCAGTGCTCCTAGAGGCCCCTCACATCTTCAGGGAAGGTACAATTCATTGCTTGTTCAATAGACCTTTATTGAGCACCATCCAAATACTATTTAGGGCATAGGAGACACAGCAGTGAACAAATTAGACAAAATAGACAAAAATACTTACTCTAATGAAGTGAGGTATGATAAACAATGAAAATAAAGATATACAGGCTATCATGTACTAATAAGTGGTACTATAAAAAATAAATTTAGAAAGGAGGTAGGGAGTCATGGGTGGGCCATAGGGCTCAGGGAGAGCCTCATTGTAATGCTGCCTTTTTTTTCCCCCCTAAACTTAAAAAAATAATAATTTCAGACTTACAAAAAGGTTGGAAAAATAGTACTCCTGACCGCCTGTGACTCAGCTACCATGTGGTACCAAGTATCCTATTTATACAAACAAACTTGAAGTAATGCATGCTACCTGACAAGGAGAGTTTTATGTATGGTATGAAAAGGTGGATTAACTTACATTAATTAATAGCTGCCATGTTTAGATACCTACAATGTGCCAAGCATGGTGTTAGCATGTTACCTCTAATCTTCGTTACATCCCTGGGAGCAAACATCATCACCTCCACTTTACAGGTGAGGAAATTGAGGAAAGTAACTTGTTGGGGCTGTCATGCTAAATAAACAATACCTGAGTGCTAAGGTTTGAATCCAGGTCTGAGACTTCAAAGCCTTTCTTCTTTGTCATTTAATTTTTTTACTTTCAGCCAAATGGCCTTACTCTAACATGTTTAAACCCCTCAGCTTAACATTGCATACTTCTATATCTGCACCTTTTATTTAGCCTAGAATATCTTTCTCCATCTTCCTTTATCTGCCTGATTTCTATTTATTCTTCATAATCCCAGTCAAATTTTACTTCTAGACCACCTCAGCTTTCGGTAAATAATTCCTCTTCAGAATTCTTTATCATGTGAATTGGGGACTTGTTGAGTACTGTCTACCCCATAAGGTTACAGTAGGAATAAAACAGTAACTATAAGAATCTGTAAAAATTATAAACAAATATTAGCTACTTCTGTTATGGCATCTTTATATTAGTCGCAGAGGCTCTGTACTGATGATGGAATAGAAAAGTCAGATTGCCATGAGAGGATCTGATTACCATGTGACAGGCTTCTCACCAGGAATTGAATGATTTTAGCATGTATCTGTAGGGAACGCTTATTTTCATTTCCTGAATAGTCTCTCTGCCTCTAAAGCACAGCTTTCATAAGTGCCAGCACACTCTTTTGTAGTAAATATTTACACCTCAAAATTAATACTTATAAGTGTCACTGTGAACTTATTGTCTAGTATAAATCTTTAAAGTTTAAGTCTTCTTGGGATTGAACAAAAGTAGTAGTCATAGAGACCAGAGTAGCTTGATTTTTGACAAGTCATTATAAAATAGAAAAACTTAACAACTCTCTAATAAGAGAGATAGGGATTAGAGTCTCAAGTGAAACTACATCTTTAAGTCACCATAATAAAAACAGTTTTGTAAGAAAGTATTATATTACACTAACTTAATGTTTTCTTTTTTTAAACATGGGATCAAATCAAGGGAAAAATAATTAGATTAATTGCCTGAGCAAAAGTAAAACTCTAGGTTCTGTTTTACGTGACCATGTTCACTTATAAGCTAAAAATTAGACCTAGGTGCTTATACACTTTACCAGCTAGGGTACCTGGCAGCACCCAGTGGGTAGTTATCAGAGATTCATTGGTGGATATGTTAAACTGTGTTCCACATGAGTCAGACCTGAGGGAAGCATTACTTAGTTTCCTCATTAATGACCTGGATGTGAATTGAAAGTATGCTCATTAAATTTGCAGATGATAAGTTGATGGTATTGGAAGATATGAATAGTATTCAGTGTGATCATGATAAACTAGAGAGATTACATTTTTTAAAGGGTAAAGTTTAGAAGGAAAATCTATAAAATAATACACCTGATACAAAGTGAAAACTTAATAGACATAAGGAAAGGCTGGACCAAATAGAGATATTGGTACTATATAGATATAGATACTGAAGACCATAGAAGAAAAGTAGACTAAAGTGTAAAACCTCTCTCTTTATTCAACCAGAGTGGATAATCTATCCTTGAATAATTTTTTCCTGGGGTTTCCAGTGCCGTTACATGATTAATTCCCATTTCCCTTTCCCACACCATTTGGTTTCTCCTAATAACCATGTAAGAGTCAATTCAAGAAAAGGAAGTAAAAGCAAAATTAAATGAATGGGGCTATATCAAACTAAAAAGCTTCTGCACAGCAAAAGAAGCCATCAACAAAACAAAGAGGCAATCAACTGAATGGGAGAAGATATTTACAAACACGCCTCCAATAGGGTCTAATATCCAAAATATACAAAGAACTCATACAACTCAACAACAAAAAAACAAATAATCCAATTGAAAAATAGGCAGAGGACCTAAACAGACACGTCTCCCAAGAAGATGTATAAATGGCCAACAGACATATGAAAAGATGCTCAATTTCACTAGCTATTAGGGAAATGCAAATCAAAACATGGAAAACAGAATGGAAGTTCCTCAAAAAATTAAGAATAGAATTACCATATGACCCAGCAATCTCTCTTCTGGATATGTACCCCAAAATTTTGAAAATATGTATCCATAAAGATATATGTACCATGATGTTCACTGTAGCATTATTCACGGTAGCCAAGACAAGTAAACAACCAAAATGCCCTTAGATAGAAGTTTATATGATAGAAGATGTGGTGCATATATACAATGGATTATTACTTAGCCATAAGAAAAGGTGAAATACTGCCATTTACAACAACATGGGTAGATCTTGAGATTATCATGCTAAGTAAAATAAGTTAGAAAAAGTTCAAAACTATATAATTTTACTCATGTGGGGTATACAACTGAATGCAGCAAACGAAAAAGACAAACAGAAACTCATGGACACAGACGGTGCTGGGAGACTTTTGTCAAGTTAGCTATCACGTAGGGTGTAGTGACAGAATCGATCATACAGGAATTAGGAGGAGATCGTTTTTCTAATCATTGTAGAAGGTAATCTGAAGACTGCTGATATAGTCCCTTGATTAATGTATTAAAAGGATAAATTCTGAGGACATTTTAAATGACTAAAAAAAGGACAGTGGCACCACAGTGAGAACTGTTTTACTAGAATGATTTATCCTGAAATCAGCCAAAACGGTTTAGTGATTACCAGAGGGAAGGGGCCAAGGGGGTAAGTAGATAAGAGTAAAGGGGGTCAAATATAAGGTGACATAAGGAAATTTAACTCTGGGTGGTGAACACACAATGCAATAAACATGCGATGTTTTATTGAATTGTATACTTAAAACCTGTAGATATTATTTTATTAACTAACGTCACCCCAATCAGTTAAAAAAGAAAGAGTAAATTCAGGCATCACCTTCTCTGGCAAGCTTTTTCTGACATCCCCTCCTCACATCTCCCAGAAATTCCATACCCTTCCATCATGCCTTCATAGCGTCCTAGGTAGTCTTCTTTTCTAGCAGTTACCTCACTGCATTTTTTTAACTGTGTGCTTTCCACTCTCCATCAATAGACTTTGATCCTGAAGTCTTCTACCTTCATAAAGTGCTTGGTAAATAATGGCTACTTATTACATGTTCGCTGAGTGAAAGAACAATCTAAAAGCCACAGCTCAAATGAATAGAAGAGAGCAGACTCTGTTAGTCACCTTGAAACCATAAAATTTTTATCCCTGGTGTGTTTGTTTGTCTGTTTTCTCCCCATATCTATCATGCTCTACTTTTTTTTCCTTTTGTATGTCTTTATTAGGAATTGCCCTTCTCCCTTCCATGTTTCTACTTGGCTCCTTACTTCTCTCTGTCTCTGCTCTTGTTCTATCTTTTTGACATTTCTTCCTATGGCCAGATAGGACTGAAAAACATTTTAAAGACTTTATTGTACTTATTTTATAAAGATTTCTGATTCCTGTTCTTAATTTAAGATTATTTTATATTTTTATCTTTGTAGCCCTTTATTGATTTTGACCATCTCTGATTTGGGGGTCCTCCAGTGAAAAAATGTTGCCCATGTCACAATCTGAGTATCTGTAGGCCTGTCCTGTTCCAATAGTCCCAAGAGTTTGGCCTGGCTTGGAGTACAGGCTGTGGCCAGTCCAACATCTGATAAATCAATTGCAGGGTTAGTTCGACTTTTAGATCATAGTACTTCAGATTTTGAGGGGGACTTTAGATGCCATTTAAGCTTAAAGATGAGAAAATTGTGACCCAAAGAGGTCATGTAATTACTCAAAGCCATGAAGCTGGTAAGTGACAGAAGCTAGAACTGGAATCTGGATTCAAAGAAGTTTATATGATGGAAGAGTGGTACTCATTTATATATTGGAATGCTCTACCAGGCTTTGGAAAAAAGTTAATTCTCTCTGCCAAAAAGTCAGCAAAATATAAGAAATAACAAAGTCCCTTAAAAACATTTAAAAGCTATTGGTTATGTGGACAGAAGATCCTAAATTGTGGAAAAGAAAATGTATCTGGCATATGCTTGACATTAGTGTCTATATGTGGGTATTTGTACAAATCTCTGTAATACATTTGAACAATCTTGATCTTATGGCCTTTAATATTTTTCTTCTTCCCCATATAGTAGGAAAGGGTTTTTACATATGAATCTTTAGTTTGTTTGATATAAAAGTTTTTCATTAAGATTTGAAATAGCTTTTCAAAGGCAGTACAGTTTAGAGCAGTTCCTATTAAAATTTCCTTTTCATCAGATTATTGGCAGCCTCCTCACCTAGTTTGCTATTAGAAGAAGTGCTGGGAGACTTTTGTCAAGTTAGCTATCACATAGGGTGTAGTGACAGAACCAATCATATTGTAGAAGGTAATCTGAAGACTGCTGATATAGTCCCTTGATTAATATATTAAAAGGATAAATTCTGAGGACATTTAAATGACTGAAAAAAGGACAGTGGCACCACAGTGAGAACTGTTTTACTAGAATGATTTATCTTGAAATCAGCCAAAAATGAACAGTGGCAATGGAGTATCCAAGACAGTCTAGAAATTCAAATAATAAGGAAATGAGATGGTGAGTATGAGGTTCAAGGAAGTTGAACCTCATTATAAAATAATCATTTTAAAAATAATGTTACGTACAAACTTGTACTATAATAAGAATTAGACATTCCTTAGTGTGTCATCAAGGTTCTCCTGATTTTCCACACAATTTGGGAGTCAGAATGTTAGGAACAGGCTGCTGCCTGGCCCTGTTAGAGTGATGTGAATGTATTTATTAGGCCTGTGTTGGGTATTCCCACCACATTTTTCAAGGTCTGTAAAATAAGGCAGTGACCTTCATTTTCTCAAAGAAAAAAAGAACCTTTTCCTTAGAAAAGTCCTAAATTTCTACTCTGGAAATTTACTAACATGAATGGTTGATTTCCTACTACTTTTGTATCTCTTAAACCCATTTGCCTCTTTCAATTGTGATCACTACAACTTTTATTTAGACTTTGATAATTGTTCATCTGGACCCTCTCGCCACCCATATTCCACATTGCTGCCAGAGTGATTTTACTAATTGGGTTGTGTTCTTTTCTGTTTAAAACTCTGCAGTGGCACTCGATAACCTTTAGGTGAACTTCAAATTCCTTAACATCTCATGTAAGACCTTTATGATCTAGTTCTTGCTGACTTCTGCAACCTTATCTGCTGTTGCTCCATGTTTCATCCAAACAGAATTATCTGCTTTTTCCTAACTTCTCATGTGTCTGAGCCTTCATTTCCTAACTTCTCATGTGTCTGAGCCTTCTTCCCTGACTACCTGCTCCTTCTCAGTGCCCCATCATATATAATTTTGAAATACTAGTCTGTCTTTTCTGTTAGAGCATCAACCACTTGAGGATGCAGATCATGGTTCATGTAACATATCTCTAGTATTTAGCACAATGTTTGGTATGTAGGAGGTGTTTGATAAATATTTGTTGGATAAATAAATCTCTTTTCAAAGATAAAAGGATCATCTTCTGTAGCAGAATAACCTTCCCATCTTGTGGCCTTATAAGTTAGTTCTACTAAAAACTTTTGAAGTCATCTTGTTTCTTTGTAAATTAAGGGCACAAATGATACCACCTTTCATTCAGTTATTTCGACGAATTAAAACTGACTGCTAGTTTTATCTCAAGAAGTGGAAGTTTCCTGCTTATGTCCTACTAGAAATCATAGCCAAAGCAGAGAAGCTGATTCTTAGGCTAGGTTGCTCATTGAAGTTCTATTTACTGATAATCAATACACATTTACTGAGCATTTGTGATGTGTCAGGCTCTGGACTAGATGCTGGATATTAAATATAAACGTGACATAAGTCCTTATCCTCAAAGAAATGAGTCTTATGAACAGGTTCATCACTAAGAATTTTTGTCATTGTGTGAATGAATTAAAGGTAACAGTCTTGGAGTTCTGACATATTTGAACAAATCGGCCAACAAATGAACCATTTCTTCTCTGGCAGTGAGGATACTTTAGTAGAAGATGGAGCTTGTGGGAGACACTACTTTATGGACTATCAGCTAGTAGACAATTTGTAATTTTAATTAAATAGGATTTTCTTCCACGTTCCTTTGCTGTGCCTCCATTCTCTTCTGAGGTGGTTGACAACAGCACTGTAATATACCAAAATAATTCTCTAGGAATAAAATAGTATCTTTGAGTTCTGTATACACAAAAAATTCAGAGACCCTCTATCCTTAGACGTGATGCTCTCTAATTTAATGCTTGATATCTTCTCCCTCTCTGTTCATTGTTAGTTTATAAGTAGCTATTTTTATTAGGACTTATCATTCTTAAGTTCCTTCCCACATTGTTGCATGTATGAACCAGCAGAAATTCACCGTGACTCATTGATGAGAACACAGAGAAGATAATGTTAATCACATTCAGAAGCGGGCAGCACTGTCAGTTATTCTTCTTTGTTTTACAGAGATGAACGAAATCAATCCATCATTGTAAGTGGAGAGTCTGGGGCAGGAAAAACAGTCTCAGCTAAGTATGCCATGCGATACTTTGCAACTGTAAGTGGTTCTGCCAGTGAAGCCAATGTTGAGGAAAAGGTCTTGGCCTCCAACCCCATCATGGAGGTAAGACAGTGGCAGCCTTGGCCTTCTTATTATATTCTCTTGTTAAAAAACATGTAAAAACAGTTGATTGATTCAGCACATGTTAGAAGGTCTGGGATCTCTCTTTCACTAAAAGTAGAATACTTCTCCATGTGTTTGTAAGAGATCTAGGAAAAATAGAAGTTCACTAAGGTAGACATTTTGAGTAAAGTCAGCTAAAGAGGAATCTACTTTATTTCCTCATCCTGAATAATTAACCTGACATTGAATCGTTGCCTCTAAATAGCTGGCAGTGGTACTTCGTTTTCCAAAGTTTCTTTCTTATTAATTGACTCTATCGTTCCTTGTACTAGAAGTGTAAGTTACTCATTTCTCCCAATCCTGAGTTCTTTTTTAAGCTTCTTCCAAAACATAGGAATTACTGTGTTCAAGCATGAATGAGTTTCATTATTCCTTTGCCCACATTTCATTTTGTATACTTAGTCCAACCTATTTTGCTATAAAGTTTTGATTTTTTTCCAAATTCGAACTGTAAACTTAAATCGTGACCTTGTAAACATTTTTCTTCTTATTTCTGTCAAGCATATCACACAGTTTTAGGTCAGAAAAAGAAATTCGGTAACTATAAATTCTTGAGAAAGGAAGAACCACAAAAGGCTGTCCTTTCAAAAGTGGAATATGTATACAAAGTAGAAATGCTTATGCCAAAGAAAATGGACCTGTTTGTGTGAGATTTGGAGTATTTTAGGATTTGTAACTAGAGTATTATTTGTCCAATATGATTTTAGGAAAGTTACATGTTTGTAAGTAGTCCTGTTAAATGGAGAAAAGTATATCTCATTAAATGGAGAGAAATTAGTTTGGACATGCAGAAACAAACCTTTCTTATTAAAAATTCAAATTAGCATTTTTATTCATATTTTTTTCCTTTCTCAAGCCTTATTTGTCACCCAGACACAGATGGAGTTTAGAACTGGCCTGGTGCACCTGTGGTACAAGTGGTTTTTGCAATAATCAGTCTAGAGGTAATTGTGCCTGGTTTGCAGTGCTGTGTGTAACACATCAGAACAGAATGCCATGACCCCTATGCCTACAGAGCTGCCCCTAGAGCAGCAGGACTTCTATTCTTGGGGTCAAGAGATCAAGATAAGCGGGGAAGTTAAGAGGCCTCCTGGACTAGGTGCACTATGGAAAGAGAACTGGAAAAGTTTTCTCAAATGGCATGGACAGGAGGAAACACGTTTGTGCCAAAAGAGAGTAGTAAAGATTTTAAGCAACTATGAAGATTTGTAAGCATTTAAGCTACAAATACAGTAGTGGATTACACTGGTATTAATATTGGGGAAATACAGAGCCAGTTTGGGGTTTGGGGCCAAAAAACAACTGGGCTTCCTACTGTATTTTGACTTTTTCTTGGCTATGACAATGAATTCTTAATATATGGCAATAGTTTAGGTCATTCTTAGTCCTTAATGTTAGAATATCCCGTGGTCTTGATTGTGATGGCATCAAAGGAATCTCATCTTTTCTAGGCCTAGATCATATAATAACATAAGTCTGGTACAAACCTTCTAGAATATGTCAAGTTAAATGAAATATTTTGACCTTGCTATATTTCTTTTGAAAAATGGCAACATCAGTTTTTCTACAACACAGGTTTGAGTTGTGTTAGTATGAGTGTTATTAAAATTTTGGAATGGCCACAGATACTACTTTTTAATATGCAGTTGTAAGGAATTTACCCTGTTTGCTAGGATGAACAAAAAAGATAAAGGCATCAGTTATGCTTAGCTACTTCCTGCTATATTATTGTTTAGTTTCTCTATGAGAATTTTTAGTAAGAAAATTTGTTAAAGAGAGAACTAATTTTCAACAACTACAAATTAAGCCATCCCATTTTCAAAGATTAAAATGGAATATGGGACTGAGAATGCTGACAAAGGGTTTATAGTTACAGGAAAAAACATAGGTAAAATATTGAATATGTGGCCCAGAAAATTTTTAGCTTTAAACCTGCCTTGAGACTATGCCTCTGTATTAGAGTTCTTTACTATGATGTCAAAAAGGCAGGTCCAGGTCTCTAGTGAGCTGCTGAAACTCATCATTGGATAATAAGCATCCTACATGGTTAACATCATAATGTTTTAAAAAGCAAACTATTCTTTTTGCAAAATACAGATGGTGTACAGAGAAGTGATTCTTTTTGCTCTATTTTATCTCATTTTCCTTTTCTCCTGGAAACTTTCATCCTAAGATGGAGTCAGAGATAATTCTTGGGCCACACTGGGTTCTTAATAGTTCTTTTTTTAATCTTCAGTAACAGTAGATGAAGAATTTCATTTCTATTTAGTTAAGAAGAGTAACTCTGTCATCATTTCACTGAAATCCATAATAAAATCAAGACCATAAAACTTCTTTCTTTTAGCAGTTTCTTGCTGATTGAAATGAAAATAGTATTAAGGGAGGCTGTTGTATAAACACTACTTATAAGGCAGAGGGAGCAATTAGAGGGAGTGGACAAAATGTATTGTTTATATATAGAACCTTCCTATATCAGGTTCAAGGCTTAGAATCATATTATTTTATTTTTGAAAAGGACCCTAGGGCTCATTTATCCTAGTCAGTTTATACTTGAAGCACTAAAACTTAAATGATGGCAAGTTGGTAATAGGGCCTGGTCTGATACTCACATCTTTGGATTTCTGTTTCACTTGCTTCTTCTGCCCTTCTTTGTTCTATGTTTAAATACCTTCTACTCAAAGACAAAGGAGTCTATTTCAACCCTTGTCTACCCACTGTCTCTTCACACAGAGTGTAGTATTGTTTTAGCAAGTTGGCCACTCTGACTCCTACTCTGAGTAAGTTGGAGAGAGATAACATATGGAAGGTGGGATAAGAGTCAGGAATGAAGGCGAAGCTATGACTCACCCTTCCCCCAACTTGCTTAGCTGGGGAAAGGAAAATGCCTAAGACAGTGCCCGGTAAGCACTCAGTAACTATTACTGCTGCTTCCCATGCTACTCTATGTAACTCTTCATCTGCTCTTTGACAGAATATATTGCATTTATCATTAATTTCCTTTTCTAAACAAAATAAAAATAATGGGAACAAAGGGAGACTTTTTGATGTGCTTTTTATAATATCAAGAAGGAGAATATCTGAGTGAATATCTGTATTGTTCAGTTATCTTAGGCTACATTAGATCACTCTGTTATTTTGCTGGGAGGATAGCTTTCATCATTCTTTCCATTTGAAATGTTAACCTGAAATATAGCAGTGTTCTTATTGCTGAAACAAAATAGGGCAGTACCTGCCCTGTATTTCAGAGAGTGAAAATACATTTTCTTTGATGGATCAGAGAATCTAATGTGTTGACTTTTGTGGCTATGTTACTGTTTTCATCACTTATAGTTGTATTGTTTTTTAACACTCTAGAGCATTTTCACATCTTTCTCTTTGCTATGGCTTCAGTATACTAATCCTAATAGTCACAGGCTTTACGCAAGTGAAAGATATTACTCTTATGAAATTATCATATTAAACATTTAATATATGCATCATGTGAACACTTGCTTTCTTAACTACACCATGTTTTTTGCTTTGCCTTGAAAGAAAAATGTATAGAAGCATGCTACCTAAATCAGAAAGCAGTACATACGCCATTTGAAGATTATATAAAAGATTAGCAGAAAGTTACATTCTCTGTATTCTATAGCAAATCTTTTGCAAGTTAGATACAGCTATCAAAATCCAAAGCCAAATGTTATTGTATCTGGTTTCTGAAAATGGCTAATACTCTACAGATAAGCAGTACACTGGAGCTTTTTTGTCACAGGATAAGATGATAGAAACTTCTGGCTAATGAGATCCTGAACACTAGAGCAACATTCTCAGGAGAATATTAATTTGTCTTAATCAGCTTATTTACATAAAACAGACAAAGATTTTCAAGAAATCAAAACTCTGACGTTTAACTAAGACGGCTTGTGCCTTAGAAGCTCCTGCGCCCACCCATTCTCTTTTTTTGCTGGCATGAATATGTTCAGATACTGCAAATGCTGTATGAAAACCTCACAGCTGCTGGTTTATGTTTACTGTTTATGAAAATAATTGTGTGAGAATAACAAGGCAGATACGAACTATTACTATATAGCTGTGTGGTTGTGCAGTGAGCAAAACATACACTTCTGTCTGCAGGGGCAAAATTGGTTCTGTTCTTAAAAGAATCTGTTTTAAAGAGTTGTGTTCTATTGTATCCTTTTTCTCCCTGAACCGACTCTATAGATGATATGTCATGAACTGCACTACTAAAATCTTATTTTTTCCTTTGCTTCTTAGTCAATTGGAAATGCTAAGACAACCAGGAATGATAATAGCAGCCGTTTTGGGAAGTATATTGAGATTGGTTTTGATAAGAGATATCGAATCATTGGTGCCAATATGAGAACTTACCTTTTAGAGAAATCTCGAGTGGTGTTCCAGGTAAGCTGGGCATGTACACATATATATACTTGTGTTAGATTGCCATATTAATTCCAGAGCTCACACTTACTGGTCTGCATTTTATTTCCAGATACTCTTGAGCATATTATGATGATATTACTACAAACCACATTTGGACTGAAACGTGTAAAATGATGCCTGTTAGAGGCAGGAGACTACCCATTTTAATAATAGTCTGTGGGACTAGGCCCTGGTTTAGGTTTCAGGGTTTTGACATTATTCTTCAGATACTTGCAGGAAAAGACTAGTTAAAAGGTGCTATTAGTTTAGTCTTATCTTTCATATTTCCCAGTTCATAGGAAAGACATTGGTTTATGCTTTCAATAAGTTACAGTCTGAACTCAGGTCAAGAAAAAAATTCTTTTTCTCTTTCCTTCCTTCTCCTCTATTAGAATATTATATTATGATATTGTTTAGGTAGAATAATGAAAGTTAAAAAATCTTCACAACTGAGTTGTGAACTGCTGTCACAGAACACACTCAAGTCTGTGTATAGGATTTCATTCACATATCTGCTCTTGATCCTTTATTTTTATTTGTAAGTGGGAAATACTACATATTTATGGGTATACCAAGGAAATGTGTTCTTACCATTGGAAAACTCCCCCAAAGGGCCCCTGGTGACCCACCGCATGCTGTGGGACCTGAGTTTCTGTAGCCCCTTAACTGGATGCCCAGTGCACTGAAGTTCAGATTCCCTTGGCACTGCCATGTGCCAGAGTCTACAGTTTCCATTGCTCAAGTCTGTTGTGGCTTTGAAGGTATCTGAGAGTCATACTGAGAGTCATACTGAGAGTCATGTTTCAGCAGCCTGTAACTACCATGGCTTTGACTTTGATTTGTGTCTGATTTGTGGCCACCTAAACTATAATACTTGATTGTATAGTATATAGTAAAGCAATAGTTACTCTCCTCCATTGATCTAATATGATACAGGTACATACAGGGCAGTGGTAATATGTATATATATATACTTGTAAAGGTTTAAAAAAAAAAAGCTTAGTAGCCAAAAGAAAGAATGGGGAAAATTTGTAGATCTAAGAGACGATTAAGTGTAAATAGTACAGATTTGATTGATAGGTAAACAATTAAAGGTTAAGTGAGTATGGTGACCAGAGGCTTGTAGTGCTTAAGACAAAACATAAAGATAGGCCTAATCTTGTCTTATCTAGAGATATTGAAGCAATTCTAGCTGTTTCCCAATCGCCAGAGCTAAATAATATCTAGGATGTTGGGTATGTCAAAATAAGTCAGACAGAGAGCATAATTGATATTGTCCTTCATGTACAAAGACAATCAAAGCATTTCTATACATCCACCTGCTTTTCTAGTTGGCTGTGAGCTGAACTGTCTGATCTTTTGCCTAATCATGCTAATGATCACTGGTACATTATTAATTTGTTCAGTGTCTTCTGACCCTGTTGTAGATTTTCTTTACCAGATATCAGCCCGCTTTGGGCATCAAACCCGACTTTGGCCTTCCTTGCACTATTCTTTAGTCAACTGAATACAACTGAATAGCAGAATTCGAGTATATGATAGTAGAGTCTCAAGATTCAGTTTTGCATGAATATAATATTATAATATTGTTACAACTGTATTTCTAAAGTATGTAAGTGGAAAAACTAAGACTGTCAGGAAATACTGCGAAATGATCTTAGAATTGTACATGATTTATTTTCTATTTTATAAGATAGTTTATTGATATTAAAATATGTAGACTAAAATGATATAGAAAATGTAGTACATTTGTGGATTTCTTAAAACAACCACAGTAGATGGTTCAGTCTATAAAATATTGCAAAGATAGGATATTCTTTTTCATTTGAAGTGTTAGGAAGATCGTGAACCTAAGAGGATACTCTGAGAAAATACTGAGTATTCCAAAAGAAATAGTTTTAGCTTCCCCCAAAGGCATTGATCTCTTATGACAATGCCATACATAAAGCTGTTCACTAGTTCAAAAAGCATTGCTATCAGATATTTTACGTTGAATGTGACCAACAGACACGTACTCACATATGTGTACTCACACATGACTAATAAATCATATGATTTAGTAATCATTATGATATATTAGGAAATTTGGGAAAGGACAACTTATTGCACCGAGATAGTTAAATATTAAAATTCTATTTTATGATCGAATTTTCTGAGTTTGATATTAAAATTCTGTAATTGAAAACTCTTCTTATTTCAAAGGCAGAAGAAGAGAGAAACTATCATATCTTCTATCAGCTTTGTGCCTCAGCAAAGTTACCTGAATTTAAAATGCTGCGATTAGGTATGAATATGGCATTAGATTTATTGCACTGGTATTGTTTTCTGTTAATTTCTGAGTTCATAAGCTTACTTGTTAAAAAAGAGATTGTCTCATACTGAAATATTTATAGATGACTTAAGAGGTCTGCAATTAGCTTCAAGATAAACCCATGGGATGGGGAAGGAATGAGTGGCTGTATAAATGCAACAAAATTGGTCTTGAGTTGATACTTGTTAAAGATGAATGATGAGTACCTAGGGGATCATTATACTTATTTCTCTACTTTTGTATATGTTTGAAATTTGCCTTGATTAAAAGAAAAAATTTTAAGGAGTTTATGTGATAGAGGCCTGTGAGGTTTCTCATGAGGGCAGTAATGTGTTTGAAGCATGTAGATTGAAATAAAACCTATTTAGGAAAGGACTATCAGTTTCACCAGTTAGAATAAATAAGCTACAAACATTTTACTTCATCATGTAATTTTGAGTTTTGAGGTCCACTGAAAACAGAGGCAGTGGAATTCCAGACTCTTTGTACTTACTTGTTCTATCACTTCCCCTAATTCAGAGTGGACATGAGGGTAGAAGTCAAGTCTTTTTCATGTACTGCAAATCTTTTATTTTCTTAAATTGCAGGAAATGCGAATAACTTTCATTACACGAAGCAAGGTGGCAGTCCTGTGATTGAAGGAGTCGATGATGCCAAGGAGATGGCACATACCAGGCAGGCCTGCACTTTGTTAGGTAATGTAATTTTATTCTTGAGTTCTTATGAGCTATAGCTTTTTGACTGAAGAAACCATTGTTTGTAATGTTGATTTAGCTTCATATAAAGTAGTGAGTATTGTTGAGAGATTTAACTTGCTTATAAAACACATTTGGACAGCAAATGGGCACGAGGTTTTTTTTGGGAGGTGATGGGGACTGCTCTAAAATTAGATTGTGGTGATGGTTGCCTAACTTTATAAATTTACTAAAAATAATTGAATTACATGCTTAAAACAGGTGAATTTTAAGGTATGCAAATTATCCCTCGATAAAGCTATTTAAAACACATTTAGGATGTCAGTGGAGGTAGGACTAATTAACTCTGCTTAAGTTTTTATGAAATCTGAAACCTAGAGCTGAATGAAATGAGTTCCTGTGCAAACTCACATTTTATATGTTTTTTTGTTTTGAGTTTTTTTGTTTTTGTGGCTGGGAAATGTGGCTAGGAGGCAAAACAATGTATTACATGTAGTTTTGTGGCTGGGAAATGTGGCTGAGCTGGCTAGGTGGCAAAACAATGTATCACATGTAGTTTATTCTATTTTTGAAATGGCTGAGATGTCACTGGCTCGTTTCCAGTATTAAAAAATATTGGGTTTACGTATAAGTAAATTATTCTTTAGAACTGTAGTGCTCTAAATCTTTACAACTTTAGTGGTAAATTATTTATTTAAAAACCTCAAAATATGAATAAATCTAAACTCATATTTTGAAGAGTACCCTGAAATGAGTTAATTTAATTTAAAAATATTACTAATCAGAATATGGTCCAGGACCACTGTAGAGCTTGCAAAAATTCATAATCTCAAATCCTACCTCCGACCTACTAAATCAGAGTCTGCATTTGAACAAGATTCATTGGTGATTCACATGCATATTAAATTTTGAAAAACACTGCTTTACTTCTAGGCCTAAATCTGTTTATAAATAGAAAATTAGAAATTTGAAAAAGCTGTAATGCAGGAGGTGGCAAAAACATTCATTATAAGATCCAACACTCAATTACCCTATATATGATTACATATTTGAAAATAATTTTACTATTTTTATTAGCCTGTAAGTATATCTGATATTCTGGAAGTTATTCTATTATTTAAAAGTGAAGCCAGATCTGATTAAAAACCAAGAGCTATCCAGCTTTCTTATCCTAGCTTATCCTTCAGGTCTTGCACTAATGCTGCATATGGACATTCACTCATCAGGGTGGGGTACAACACCAGCCTGAACACTAATCTTGGGATCTCTTTGACTTATACTTGTCTGTAGTTAAAAGAAGTAATTAAATAATCTGACTTAAAACAGCTTTATTGGACTACAACTTGCATTTCAAGTAGATATAAATAGAAAAGGTAATAGTATTAGTAAAATATTTAAATCTAATGTGTGATAATGATGATTATAATCTGTGTAGCACTTATATGTGTCATATATAGTGTGTTAAGTATACTACATGGCTTTTCTCATTTAATGTTCGCAAACACCCTTGAGAGAGTTACAATTATTCTCTATCTCAAAAGAGAAAACAAAAGCATAGAAGGGTGAAGTTACCAGCCCATGTAAGCTGAGCCCGGCCTTGAGCCCAAGTCTGTCTCACTCCACATGAGAGAAGTGTTGTTAAGTATGACACGTTATAATGTGCCTGATATCTGGCAATATTCAACTGTTAAAAATAGGCTTAAAATTGTCTGTTGTAATTGCTTAGTTCCTGTTTTAAAATTAATCACTTGTTCATTTACTCTGTTGTTTCAGGAATTAGTGAATCTTATCAGATGGGAATTTTCCGGATACTTGCTGGCATCCTTCACTTAGGCAATGTTGGATTTACGTCTAGAGATTCAGACAGCTGCACAATACCTGTAAGTTTAGAACAAACATAGTGATAGCAGTTGATTTGTATTTTAGTTTTGTCGATTCTTCATGGAAGAAATATATTTGAAATCTCCATCAACATTATCAGAGAGATATATTATCCAAAGTAAAATCTCGAACTGAAAATAGAGAAATATGGATTCTAATCCCTGGTGCACAATGACTGTGTGTGTGTGTGTGTGTGTGTGTGTGTTGTGTGTGTGAGAGAGAGAGAGAGAGAGAGAGAGAGAGAGAGAGAGACAGACAGACAGATAGACAGACAGTCAGACAGACAGACAGAGAGGTAGAGACTCACACTTGGATACATGTCTGATCTGTATAAGCAGAGGTGGGAAAAATTAGATATGCAAGTTGGATTGGTAAATCAAGAGAGAAGGGTTCATTTGGAATAAATACCAAGAACTGATAACTTTATTTGTGTCTCTAGTTACGGAAGTGTAATATGGTTAAAACCTATTGAAGAAACCGTTAGCAGTGGTTATTTCTGGGAAGAGGGACTAGTTGGCTATGGGATGGGGTGTCTTCACTATGATTTACATACTCTTCCACACCTAATTGTAACAGCACACTGAGAATTAAAACTCAAATCCATTTGTGGAAACATTTGTTTAAAATGTAATAAACCTGACAGTCTAAATTGTCCTCACTGGGCATTCGTTATTTGCAGTGTTTGCTGATCACTGCCATCAAAGATACACACACACACAGAGACATATTTTTTCTTAGGTATCTTTTAACTTTATTAAAATGGAGGAAGTTTTAAAATAATTAATTCTTTTTTCATATTGCTTCCTTATGGATTTTTTTAAATTGTTTATTGGGGTAACATTGGTTAATACAATTATATAATTTTCAGGTATACATTATAATTTGATATCTATATATTCTATTGTGTTTACCACCCAAAATCCAGTTTCCTTCAGCTACCATATATTTGATCTTCTTTATTCACTTCACCCTCGCCCTATTCCCTTATATTTGACCCCCTTTAACTGTCTACCTAATATCTCCTCCTATACCTCCCACCCTCTGGTAACCACTAGTCCATTGTCCATGTCCATGAGTCTCTGTTTGTACTGTTCATTTGTTGCTTTTAGGTTTATATCCCACGTATAAGTGATATCATATGATTTTCAACTTTTTCTGTCTGGCTTATTTCGCCTAGCATGGTTATCTTGAGGTCCATCCATGTTGTCACAAATGGCAGTATTTCATCTCTTCTTATGGCTGAGTAATATTCCATTGTATATATGTACCACAGCTTCTTTAGCCAATCATTTATCGTAGGACACTTTGGTTGCTTCCGTGTCCTGGCCACCATGAATAATGCTGCTATGAACATCGGTGTCCAAATATCTTTTCGGATATGGGTTTTCAAGTCTTTGGGGTAAATACCCTTTAGAGAGATTGCTGGATCATATGGTAGATCAATTCTTAGTTTTGTGAGGAACCTCCATAGTATTTTCCATAGTGGCTGTACCAATTTGCAGTCCCACCAGCAGTGTACCTCACGGATTGTTATAGAAGACAGTCTTGAGATTTATGTTTCACTCTTCAGAAACCTGCATTGATATTAGCAAATCTGCATGTAGACTCGTGTGATTTAAATTTGGGTAAATTCGACTTTAATTTTGAAGTATGTTTCAGTATCTCTGTCTGAATTCAATCTCAACTTTATTCACTCTGTGTTTTGGGGTGAATTGCTTAGCTTCTCTGAACCTTAGTTTCCTCATCTGTAAAATGAAAGTCCCTTGGTGTTCTAATTGACTTTTGAGTTTTGGACTAGGTGCTCTGATTGACCTTCATGCTGAATTAATTACATTTAAAACTGTTTTTTAAATAAATACACAAGAACTACTCAGAGACCAAAACTAGGTGAAAATAGAAACTCAGAGAACAAAGCAGAACCCTAAAGCTAGAACTCACTTTGAGGGCATTTGCTGAACCCAGTGACCTTGAACTTTGGTTTTCACAGCTAATTGGAGTGCAGGAGACTAAAGACAATGCCTAGGACTTACATTAACAAGGTAATGAATAAGGGAATCCTTGCCTAAAGCTGAGACCCTAAATGGGGAACTGGTAATAAATCTTCCCACCACTCATTTCAAGAGTTCAAAGAAAAGTTAATCTGGCTCAAACTTCGGTGCTAAGTAGAGGAGGAAAAACCAGTTCCCTAAATATTTATAACAGTGAACTGACTTTCACACATGCTCCCAGACTGTTTCATAGTTCCTGTGTGGTCCCAGAAAACTACATACAGAAAACTTAGCTTAAATTGGTCCTGGATTGGTCAGGCACTAGATCCACCTTCAAGCTAGGCCTCAGTAGAATCCCATGATAACAGTTACAAGAAATATCAACTCACAGTAAAAAAACAAAACAAAACAAATAACAAATTCCACAATCAAACAAAATAGAAGGAGCTAGATAAAGAGTCAAACCTATTAAGAATGCCAAAAGAGATTAATAGCAGATTTGACACAACTGAAGAAAGAACTGTTGAGTTATAAAATAGACGTGAAGAAATTATCCAGAATGCAAGATAGGACCCAGTAAAGAGAGATGAGGATAGAGTAATAAATTCTAATTTTAGTCTAATGAGAATTTCTAATGGAGAGAAATAAAGAGAATGAGACAGACATAATGTTTAAAGAAATAATTCTAATGAATTTCAGAAATTGTGAAATGACACTAAACCACAGATTTGGAAAGTCCAAAAAATCCCAATTAGAATAATAAAAAGAAATACACTCTAGGCACACTATAACAATACCAGAGGCAAAGAGAAAATCTTAAGACAGGCAGATAGATAAGACATGTTACTCTTGAAGAAACAGCAAGTAAACTGATAGCTTACTTTATCAGCTTGAGCTAGAAAACAGTGGACTACTATCATCATTGTTCTAGAGTAAATAACTAATAACTTAAAATTATATGTCCAGTAAAAATATATGTCCAGAATGAGGAAAAAATAGAAGTATTTTTAGACTAATAGAAATTTGTGAGAATTTGTCACCAATAGGCCCTCACCAAAGGAAATTTTAAAGGACATAGTTTAGGCTAAAGGAAAGTGATCCCAAATAGAAGTTCTAAAATATGAAAAGAAATGATGAATCAAAAAAACTAGTAAAGTGCAGGCAAGTGCAGATCAAATTTGATTAATTAAAACAATAATAAAAATCAATTATTATTATTGCAACAGATAGAACTCCCCACAAAATACTTACTAGTTACAAAGGGAAAAATATCTTTCCAGTGGAGAAGTCTGGTGGACAGTCCCTTAACCAACATCATAAAACTTCTGATACGGCACACTGAGGAGAACACAACATCCTTTTCCTGGTATTCCTGCTAAAAAGGCACAACCCAAATCTGATTATGAGGCAACCTCATACAGACTCAAATTGAGGGACATAACTTTAAAAAAACGCCAGTCACAAAAGTCAAAAAAAAGTAAAGAAGTGTTCAGAAGAAGTGTTCAGATTAAAAGAGACTAATGAACCATGATAACTAAATTCAATGAGTGAATTTAGATTGGATCCTAGATTATAGAAATATTTGTGTGTGTGTGTGTGTGTGTGTGTGTGTGTGTGTGTGTGTGTGTGTGTGTGTTTCCACAGAGGACATTATTAGGTCAATCAACAAAAATTGAATTAAGGAGAATGGGGTGAAGGGTTAAAGGAGTACAAATTAGTAGCTGATGGATGGACATGGGGATGGGGAGCACAATATAGGGAATGCAGTTAGAATGAATATGTTGGCTAGGTGGAGGGTCAGAGGAGGGAGGGAGCAATTGGGGGGGGGACCCTTTTACGAACTATATAGATGTCTAACCAATGTACTGTATACTTGAAACTAATTAAAATTTTTTTAAAAATTGAATTAGATCTGCAGGTTTGATAATAAGGTTGTACCATTGCTAATTTTCTGATTTTGTTCATTTTACCATAGTTATGTAAGATAATGTCTATGGTTTTTAGGAAAAGTAAACTGAAATGTTTAGGACTAAAGGGCTATTATGTTTGCAACTTACTCTCAAAAGGTTCTGAAAAAATAATGTGTGTGGATATGTGTGTGAAAGAATGAGAGAGACAGAAAAGGATACAAGTAAATGTGGTTAAATATTAATACTGTATTTAGGGAATCTGGGTAAAGGGAGTTCTTTGTACTATTCTTGAAACTTTTCTCTTAGTCTAAAATTAGTTCAAAGTAGAAAGTTAAATAAAATAAAGTGAATCACCAACCCCTCCTCCCCCCAGAAAAGATAGAACTAAAATACTGGATAAAGTACTATGTAAGGCCAGTCCACTAAGACTGGGAGACATAGAAGCTCTACCTAATACATAAAAATAAACACAGGGAGGCAGCCAAAATGGGGAGACAAGGAAACATGTCTTGAATGAAAGAACAGAACAAAGCTCCAGAAAAATAACTAAACAAAATGGAAACAATCTCCCAGATGCAGAGTTCTAAGCTCTGGTTATAAGGATGCTCAACGATCTTAGTGAGAACTTCAGTGAAGAGATAGGAAAGATTAAAATGGTGATAGAAAACATAGAAAAGAACCAGTCAGAAATGAAAAATAGAATAACTGAAATGAAGAATACACTAGAGGGATTCAATAGTAGACTAGATGAAGCAGAGGATCGAATCAGCGATTTGGAAGATAAGGTAGCAGAAAACACCCAATCAGAACAGCAAAAAGGAAAAAAGAATTCCAAAAAAATAAGGATATTTTAAGGGACCTCCAAGATAACATCTAGCATACCAACATTCACATCCTAGGGGTACCAGAAGAAGAAAAGAGGGAGCAAGGAATTGAAATTCTATTTGAAGAAATAAGGACAGAAAACTTCCCAAACCCGATGAAGAAAACAGACATACAAACCTAGGAAGCACATAGAGTCCCAAAAAAGATGAACCCAAAGAGGCCCACACCAAGACACATTATACTTAAAATGCCAAAGGTTAAAGACAAGAGAGAATCTTAAAAGCAGCAAGAGAAAAAGCAATAAGTTACCTAAAAGGGAGCTCCCATATTTCTCAACAGAAACTTTGCAGGCCAGAAAGGATTGGCAGGAAATATTCAAAGCGGTGAAAAGCAAGGACCTACAATTAAGATTACTCTACCCAGCAAAGCTATCATTTAGAATAGAAGGACTGATAAAGAACTTCCCAGACAAGAGAAAGCTAAAGGAGTTCATCACCACCAAACCAGTATTATAAGAAATGTTAAAGGGACTTATTTAAGAAGAAGAAGATAAAAAATATGAACAATAAAATGGCAGTGATCACATAGGTATCAACAGTTACTTTAAATGTAAATAGGTTAAGAGATCCAAACAAATGATAGGGTGGCTGAAAAGATAAGAAAACAAGATCCTTACATATACGGCCTATAAGAGCCTCACTTCAGATCGAAAGACACACAGACTGAAAGTAAAGGGATGGAAAAAGATATTTCATGAAAATGGAAATGAAAACAAGACAAGAAAAGTTGGGTTAGCAATACTTACACCAGACAAAGCAGACTTTAAAACAAAGGCTAGAACAAGAGACAAAGAAGGGCCCAGTAATCCTACTTCTGGATATTTATCCAAAGAAACCCAAAATACTACTCTAAAGGGACATGTGACTCTATACATTCATTGCAGCATTATTTAGAATAGCCAAGATATGGAGGCAACCTGGGTGTCCATCGAAGTGGATGACTGGATAAAGAAGAGGTGGTACGTATGTGCAACGCAATATTACTCAGCCGTAAAAAGAATAAAATCTTGCCATCTGCAACAGAATGATGGACCTAGAGGGTATTGTGCCAAGTAAAGGTCAGACAGAGAAGACAAATGCTATATCATTTCACTTATACAAGGAATCTAAAGAACAAAATGAACAAACAGAAACAAACTCATAGATACAGAGTGCACTTTGATGGTTGCCATATGGGAGAATGGATGGATGAAGAAGTAAAAATTGGTAATTACAAAATAGTCATGGGGATGTAAGGTACAGCATAGAGAATATAGTCAATAATATTATAATAACTAGATTTATCAGGATGATCACATCGGAAGTTATATAAATGAACAATCACTATGTTTCACACCTGAAACTAATATAATATTGTGTGTCAGCTGTAAATGAAAAATAAAAAATTATTTAAAAAAACAAAACCTAGGTTTAGGATGGGGTTTTTGGAGTTAGTGTTATTCAATTACATTAAATTAACTAATATAAGTTAATGCTTTTATAAAAATAGAAACAAATTATAACTTTCAAACTAATAGAGAGGAAAATGGACTGACAAACATAATTCAGATATATCAAGAAAGAGAGAGAAAATTTTAGAAAATGTGTGACAACTAAAGGCACAAAATAATTACAAATGGACTCATGTTTCACTTAAAATGGATTGTCAGATGGATTTAAGAATTCAGGTATATACTTTTGAAAGAAGCATTCCTAAACATAAGGATGCAGAAAGTTTGAATATAAAAGGTTTAAAAAAGACACACCCTTATAGCTAGAAAAAAAAACTGGCAGAACTGTATTAATACAGGACAAAATAGACTTTGAGGCGAAAAACAGCACTAGAGATAGATAAATCAATATGAAATGATAGAGATTTTATTCACCAGGAAGATGTGATAGTTCTAAAGTCGGATGTACTTAATGACATAGCCTCAAAAAATATAAAGCAAAAATCAACAGAAACCACAAGAAGGAACAGAGAAATCTATCATAATGGGAGATTATTGACTTCTTTAAATTATTGGTAGGTGAAGAAGTTCAAAAATTAGTGAAGTTACAGAAAATTTGAACCTTGATTAAATAAAACAATTTGGTAACACTATTCAAATAGACTATTTAGAGTACTGATCCACTTCTAAATGATGTCAAATCATTCATATACATATGTGAATATACATTGGTATATATGAATGAAATAAGCTGTTTATTTAAGGAAGTTGAACAATAGTGCTGATTCGTATCTGAAATAATCGCTTAGGGGGAGGGGAGATGAAAGAAAGAAGGGACTGCTTCAGTGAAAAGGGTCAAGGATGAATGTGTCAGGAGACCCAGATTCTAATGACAACTCTGACATAAATTGGCTATTTTATTTTTGGCAAGCTATGATAGTATTCACCCTGCCTATTCTCCAGGAATGTTATCAGATTCAATTGAAACATGTGAGTGAAGATGTTGAAAATATAATACACTAACATGGATTAAATTTAAAAACTATTTATTGAATACTTACTCATGTAGGGCCTTTATAAGACATTGTAGGGGATAAAATGTGATTAAAGAGATTCTAATGTAAGAAGTCACACAATTAACTATCAAGTTATCCGTTTAAAACTCTTCATTGTCCTCCCATAGCTCTCAGGATAAAATTCAGCCATGGTATAGCCTCTGCCTGTCTCTCTGGCTTCATCTCATTAATCTTCTCTCTTACTCAGTTTTAGTCCTTCATGTTGCTGTTAGCCCTCCCACCGCAGGATTTTTACATCAGCCATTCCCTCAGCTTGGAGGACCCTTTCCTCCCCCTTTCACTGAGCTAACCCCTTCTCCTTCAGATCTCAACTTCATGTCTCAAGGCAACTGTCTTCTGCCTCCTTCAATAGGACACACTCATTTCATATAGACTCTTAGTATAGTGTCCTCCTTTGTAGTAATTTTACACTTTATGAAACAATCATTTGATTAGTATTTATTTCCCCTAGGACTATAAGTTCTAGGAGGATAGGGGCCATGTCTGTTTTTGTTTCCTGGCATATAATAGGTACTCAGTAAATATTTATTGACAGGCTGACTGATTTTCTGATTGACTGACTGAATGAATGTGCCTCAAGAGAGAAACAAATACTATGAAGAGACAAAGGAAGAGGTAATTTTCAAAATGAGTTCTAGAAGAGATTGCAAAAGGCTGCCTAGATGCTGGTTTAATGGATGATTGTGATTATTATCACTGCTCAGCTTTCAGCAGTCTTGGTGTTTTTTATAACAAAGAAATTGCTGGGTTTTATTTGTTATCACTTTGTTAGTAGTATTCAATAAATTCTTATTTGATTGATCTAATCATAGGAAATAACCCAATCTCTTTTGGCAGCCTAAGCATGAACCTCTCAGCATCTTCTGTGACCTCATGGGCGTGGACTATGAGGAGATGTGTCACTGGCTCTGCCATAGGAAGCTGGCTACTGCCGCAGAGACATACATCAAGCCCATCTCTAAGCTGCAGGCCACAAATGCCCGTGATGCTTTGGCCAAGCACATCTATGCCAAGCTCTTTAACTGGATTGTAGATCATGTCAATCAGGCTCTCCATTCTGCTGTCAAACAGCACTCTTTTATTGGTGTGCTGGACATTTATGGGTAAATATATTTGGCTTTCTTACCGAAACGGTCTGCCAGAGAGCATTTCTTTCTAGAGATTTTCTGGAAAGAAAGTACATGAGTATTTGATTCTGTCTCCTACTGGTAAGGAGAAGAGAAAATTAGAAGAGAATTTCTAAAAGTCTAATTTCATTTGCTAGTTTGCCTTCTCTGAGTACCCTTCTTTAACTGTTAAAACCCTTTCTATATATTTGTGCTTTTCATTGTCTGGTTCGGTTTTTCAAAAGAACCTCTATGATCTCTATTTCTAGTTCCCTTCTATGTGTATGTAAACACCATGAGTCTGTACATGGACAAGAGCAATGGCTTTTCCATAATTCTGAGTGTTTCCCACTTCAAAAACTCAGCAGCTAGAGCCCATAAGAAATCTCCCTGCCATTTGGCAGATGCCTCTGTTGGGTACATATACCATGTTACTGACTTAAAAACCCTTATCTTCACTGATGTGGAAAGAAGGTTTCACAGTGTTGGAGAATTTCCCAATTCTTTCTTTCCAGTGTGCACATTTTGAATATTTTAGAAAAGCTATCTATTCCCTTTTCTCCTCTTCCCATATTATTTTTTGGTTTTACAGATTTGAAACATTCGAGATAAATAGTTTTGAACAGTTTTGCATAAATTATGCAAATGAAAAACTACAGCAACAATTCAATATGGTAAGAATTTTCTTTCTTGAATAATATTCTGTTATAAATTATTCTCTTGAACTCCTATTCTGCATTTAAAGTCCGGCTCCTGAAATGAAATATGTGCTACAATTATTTGAGGTTTAGAACAGCTAAACTACTGAGGAACTTATGACTAATAAATAATGCAATGTTGGGAAAATGTTTATGGTCCAGCTGGGATTCAAGGTCATTCTTGGATTGCTGTATAAAAGTAGTGAAAATTTGGTTCAAATAAATTGAATGAGGGAAGCAGGAAGTGTGTTATGTAGTTACATAGGAGTATGAGTCCAGGGAGATCCTTCAGTTTGTTGTTCCTGAGGCTAATTATATGTGGAGTTTGGCTATTTTAACTCTTATTTGTATTAACAAGATGTCAGAATGAAAAATCAGAACATATGTTTGAGGGATTCACCAAGACAGTGGCGATGGGAATATTTTGAGAGTAGCTCTGTAGTAATATCAAATATCTTAGAGCATTAGCATGGTGTTGGAGGACTTGGAGGCAATTAAAAATGAGGGGTTCCAGTCTATGGCCATGCCACCCTGAATGTGCTCGATCTTGTCTGATCTCGGAAGCTAAGCAGGGTCGGGCCTGGTTAGGACATGGATGGGAGACCACCTAGGAATACCAGGTGCTGTAGGCGTTTAAAAAAAAAAAAAGGGGGGGATTCCAGACTGTAGCGAAGAGTACAGACCCCGAGGTGAATGGCTTGGGTTAGAATTCTACTCTGCATTGAATATTCAGGGCAAGTTAATTGACCTTCCTGGCCTTAGTCTCCTCATACTTATAATGAGCATATAAAGGTACTTACTGCATATAGTTATATAGATTAGATGAGTTAAGATACGTAAAGTGCTCAATATACCAGGCACAGTTCTAAGTGCAAGTTAGGGGTGGTTATTAGTATTGATGAAAGAAGATTTTAAAAATGATTGACCCATAGGAATTGGAAGGTACATGGAAAAGAAGAGAGCTGAAGGACAGGAAAAGAACCCTTAATAAATATCCTCATCTTACAAAGAGAGAAGACAAGAGGTATAGTCTGTTGCTGATAAAAAAAAAATAGAAGTTTAAAGATATTTTAATTTACAAAATTCATAAAACCAAAAGAAGATCTAAAGATAATTTCAGGTGGGTAGAAAAGGAGCAAAGAGAGGTGGTGTATGTGAACTTAGACTCATCTATCTTATCAAGAAATCAATATATAATATTTCAAATGAATAAATCAAAAAATAGCTGATAAACATATTCTTTAAAGGTAAACATCAGAAGAAATAGCTAAGGTTGTTAAAAATGGTTGCCTCTAGGGATTGAGACTAGTGTTGGGGCGAGATGGAGCAAGGGATTGTTGCTGGTCATCATAAAACCTTTAGACTGTTTGATTTTTTTTTTAAATATTGCATATACTTTGATAAAAATTTAGACCATCTTTATTTAGCAGATTAAGCTATTTACACAGTAAAATGACATAGAGGTGATCTTAAAACCTTAGGCTTATGACTATTTCTATAAGAATGTAATGGCTGTAGTTTCATCTCTGCATAGGGAACATTAATAAAATCCTTTCAGAAACTAAATTGAGCATTATCTTTTCTCAAGGTTTTTTCAGGGTTTCTTAATACTTTAATCAATGCTACTGCTCTTTTCCAGTATATTTTATCACAAGGTTACTCTAAGTATAGGAAACCAACACTACCTCATTAGGGACTGGCTACTTTGTCTATTTCTCAAAGGTCTAAGGTCTCAGAATATGTTTCTGATTCTCTTCTTTTTCTTTCTTTTTTCCTCTTTCTGTCACCTTCCCTTCCTCCTTCCCTCCCTTAATCCCTCTCTCCTTATCACTCACACACACACACACACACGTACTGTATCTTAGCTTTTCTCTGCGCAACTCCTCCACTCCCTGTTATTAACATATTCTATCCTTCTATTCTGTACATATTTTCTTTACCTAAAGATTTCTGCTTCCTCACACATTTCAAACTTGCTGTGAACCCAGCAGTGGTGGCAGTGCTACTTCCATTTTCTTATTTTGTTTACCTCCCATTCTTCTTGGCTTCTTTCAGCTTCAGCTGTTAATTGCCTGTTTCCCAATTCTTACATCCAAGAAAGAGAATCTGATTAACCCAGTTCATTTTTTCATTAGAGGTCTCTGGCAATAGAGTGCTGCTCTCAGGTACCCACACTTGGTCTAGCCAGACTGGGAACATGGGGTCTCACAGTAAAGAAGTTGGCTGCTTCTGGCTGCTTCTTCATCAGGGGCTGTGGGTGGGACAGTGGGCATGAGAAACATGGTGATTGACATATTTAGTGCTTGGGGGCATTATCGTATTGACGAAGGATCTTGTCATATTGAACCTCATACCCACCTTGTCCTTTTGACAGTTGAGCATCCAAAATTTTTGAGGCCCCATGGACTTTTAAACTTAGAAATAGAGAGGTATGTGAGAAACAAGCCCTATTTAAAGTCTGGAGCAGTGTTTCTGTTGTCAGTGTGGAGACTACATATAAATTAATGAATTAAAAAAAAAAAACAACGGGCTCTTTGTTTTAGAAAATATTGGTGCCATCAGTCAGGTCATCCTACTGATACATGGTGCCATATTTGCCTTCTCTTTAATCAAAAGAACAGAAGAAATTTGTTTTTTAATTAGCATTACATAAATATTCATACAGTTGACCTTTATTTTTGACTAAAGCTTATCGCAGCTGGTTAGACTATAAATGCTGCAAATGAGTCAAGAGTGGCATTATAATAAGTATAGAATAAAGTGGGAAAGTTTCAGATGATTGAGGAGAGTATCAGAAGTCTTGGTGACACCTAAGTTTCATGGGATTTTGGGTCCTAATATGTGTTGTCCGGTCATAGCCACAGAGGGCTGATCTTCCCGTAAAAGTAACAAGATGTGTGAGAGAACCAAGGAAGACAAAGGAGACAAGTAAAAGAAAGAAACCCCCAAGAACTAACAAGTAGAGGTCATTAGCATCTGCAGAGACTGGGTGGGCTGCATTGGCTGGGTGGCCTGAAGCAGGAGCTGCAGCAGAGGTGGGCTTGCCTTTCTCACCTGGACTAACTTAACTTCTGTTCAAATGCAGAGCTCAGGTTACACAGCCCTTCCTGAGAGAAGCCTTCCCTCACCGCCCTATATCCAAACTGACGAGGACTCTTGTTCTCATAGCTCGCATTATTTTCCTCTGTAACATTATTACATTTGTAATTATATTTCTGTGATTATTTGATTTCTGTCTATTTCTCCTACTAGTTTCCAAACTCCATGAGGGCATAGCTCACATCTATTTTGTTAATGGTGTTTAGTGACTGGCACATAGTAGACAGTCCATACATATTTTTGCTTAAACTAGTAAATGGAGATCAGAAGCAATGGTGAGGCATTTAGCAGAAATAGCAATGAATTGGTAATGGCTGCAGCTGCTTGCAGAATTGAATGTAGAATTGAAAAAGTGAGCTGTAGGATCCCTGACTGTGGAGAATAATCAAGGCAGACACAAAAGACCAACTGTTATCTAATTCTGAAGCACATGAACTTCAACACCACAATTCCTTAAGTCTTAAGCAGTCCCCAACATTTTTGGCACCAAGGACCGGTGCACCTATGAGAATCTAATGCCTGATGGTCTGAGGTGGAGCTGAGGCAGTGATGCTAGTGCTGGGGAGCAGCTGCACATACAGATGAAGCTTCACTCACTCTCCCGCTGCTCACCTCATGCTGTGTGGCCCCGTTTCCAACAGGCCACAGACTGGTACCAGTCCAGGGGTTGGGGACCCCTGTAAAAAGATTACTTTGTTATGCTGTAAGCATCACTCAGCATGGTTCAGTAGTTTGCAGGGCATCTGCTCTGCTAATTGTTCAAGGGCCAGCTAAAACATTTCTGTGCTCATGTTGTAACAGCACTGTACAATAATTTAAGAGGCCAAAAAAATATATAATGCAGTTTGGATGTATACACATCAAAAAATTGAAAAAACTGCTACATTTATCAGCTATTTAAAATATTAACATATCTAAGATTTACTTGTTTACCAAGAACCCTATACAGGTTTTACTGTATGTGGTTTTTATTTGCTTTCTTTTATTGTTCTGTGTGTGAATCATGTTTCTCACATGATGTTGTTGCCGGAAGCTGTGGACTGTCTCAAGTTATGTTGGTATCTTCCTAGAGTGTTTTATATAAACATTTTTTCTTGATTAACATCATTTATAATAATGATCCAGTAATGCCACTCATTTTCCTTTTTTATTTCAGCACGTCTTCAAATTAGAACAAGAGGAATATATGAAGGAACAAATTCCATGGACTCTCATAGATTTTTATGATAATCAACCTTGCATTAATCTTATAGAATCAAAACTGGGCATTCTGGATTTGCTGGATGAGGAATGCAAAGTAAGTCTGGTTTTCTGATGTACTTAGTCTGTCAGAACAGATATATCAAGGTCAGAAGGTAAGTGGGTTTAAGCAGAGATTCATAGTATACCATGAAATACCACTGTGGGGGTCACTCTAACTTGCATTCTGAAGAGTCACTAGACCAAAAGGGCTTTAAATCCAAATGAAACTAGGAGAATTTCCCTTCTCTTTTCAGCTGATTGTAAGTTATGTGAAGGTTTCACATTAGATACAACTACTAGCAATTTTAGCCACTTTTGTTAATCGATATATTTAGTATTTTTTGTTCAGTAGTATGATATTGTTAAAGAAATGCAAGAAATTATACAAAAGATATTTTGAATGATAATTCCAAATAGCCATAGTTTAAAATTTGACTAGTTGTTCTTTATTACTGATATTTATTGTAGGAAGGGAGTTTTAGCTTTAATATTTGAAGATGCAGCATGTGGAAAATATATGAGATCCTCAGCTTTACTGCTAACCTCTTTTTTCTCATAATTTCTCTTTAGTTTAATGCCATTAGTTGTAAGTTAAACATAGGATTATGGTCCTCCAAAGTATACAGATTTTCTACAAAATTAAGAATGCATGTAATGAAAAAGTGTTCAGCCTCACTCAAAATTAAATAAAATGCAAACCAAAGCAAAAATGGGATACTGCTTTAGGTAAAAAGCAGCATAAGTGAGTTTAAATTTGATAATACCTTTCATTTGATACTACCAAATGAATATTCATTGCACATATACTATTGATGAAGGGCTCAGATTAGTATAACATATTTTAGAGGAAATTTGACAATATTTATCAAAATTGTAAATACATATACCTTTTGACTCAACAGTGGAACTGCTGGGAGTTTACCCTATATATATACTTGCAAAAATATCTAAGAAGTCATTGTGGCAGTTTCCATAATAACAAAAAATCATTAGTAACCTAGTGGCCATAAATACAAGAATGCTATTATTAAGAAGAAGAAAAAATGCAATGAGTTTAGAATAGAATAATCCTATTCCTATACATGCTTTTAGAGACAGAAAGCTAAAGAAGTTGGTGGAAGTGGCGAAGGAAGACTACTCTTTATTTTAAACCTTTCTGAATTACGTAAATATTTCACTATGTGTACATGTTACCTTTATTTAACAAGTTTTTAAAAATACATGATAGTCATGATACTTCGTCTTTCATTTGTGAGGCTTTTATTGTTTTAAAAGGAAATCGAATATTTATTTGATGGTTATGGTTATAGGCAGATTGAGTTGCCCAGAGATTGGGCCGAATCACCCATGGGAAAGTCTCAGTCATTACTCTTCATCAGTAATTGATTTTTGGCCCCTAAGAGAGAAAAGTGGAAAGAACGAGTTCCTAAATTTAATATCAAAATTGTTAGGTTGATGTGAGTCTGATAACAATATGTATCTTGTTTTCTTTCTTTCTTTCCCATTGAATGTAGATGCCTAAAGGTACAGATGACACTTGGGCCCAAAAATTGTACAACACACATTTGAACAAATGTGCACTATTTGAAAAGCCCCGTCTATCAAACAAAGCTTTCATCATCCAACATTTTGCTGACAAAGTAAGGAAGCTTTATTTTTTTTTCCTTTTGAATACTTAAATTCAAAATGGAAAAGAATCAGTAGTCAAGAGGTATCATTTTTTCTTTGCTGAAGTTTACATTCTTAAGACTTTATAGGAAAACTAATCTTCTTTGTTGGCTGCTTGTTTTTCTATTCCTTTAACCTAAATGGAAATGTATTATAAAATAAATATGGATCTACAATCCTCTATCTGTAATTTTGAAATCCAAGAAATTATGAAAACCAAAAGTCTTTTCATAATTCATTTGGTAGCTAAACCTGATCTCTGACCTAAACTAACATGAGGTTATTTATAGTCTTTATCCCAGTTAGGCTGGATATTTACATATTTCAATGTAGAAACGTTCATGTGTTTGACCACAGATTGCGGCCTCAGACTTTGCTGAAAAGCTGAGTTCTAAAGCATTGCTGACCCCAAGAGTTTCAGAACACAAATTGTCACACTCTGTGATTGATTCACTGCCTAATAACAAGGCAGGCAGACTTGCTGCTCCATAAATTCAACAGTCTACTGAGAAAATCAGGAGCCATGACACTAACTTATATTTTAAGGAAATTGTAGGGTAGGCTTTGAGGTAAGCTTCCCAGGGTCTCCTACAAGATTTGAGAGCCTTCTGACTCCACTTTAATCATGGCTCGAAACCTTGGAATGACTTTAGGGCCACCTGAGGGCTTTATGGTATGGGGTGGAAGCTCCTTCAGTGGTAGATGGCAGAAATCTCTGGAGGTTTGGAAGCAGGAATAGTATATTCTCAACAAGGTCCACTTACAAAATCATACAGTATTTACCAGCCTCCACCTCCACCCATCATCAGCTCTTCTACTTTCTCTCTGTCAGAGAGCCATATGTTCCTCCTATTCCTCTCTCCCACTTTAATCTCTTCTTTCACAAAAGGAGATTTACCCCTGCTGGGTGGTGAACTAGGTTAGAAGGAGATACATAGCATCAGCCTTGGAGGAGCTGCCAGCAAGGGAGAAGAGAATCAACTTCATATGAGACTGCTTACCCTGACTTGAGAGGATCTCTTAGACCACAGTTAATCAGCACTACCACTGTTCCCTAAGAAAAAAACAATATGGAGTTAACACACTTCTTACCAAGTTTCTTGTTTCTTAGAATAAAACTAATGATACCATTTAGCTGAGAGCCAGTCATAGAGCCTAAGCCTAACAAATTTTTTGTTGATGATTATAATACCTATTCAAAAGTTTTATTAGCTAAGGAGATTTTTCCGTGTGTTTTCAGGTGGAGTACCAGTGTGAAGGCTTTCTGGAAAAGAATAAAGACACTGTTTTTGAAGAACAAATTAAAGTTCTTAAATCAAGCAAGGTAACCAAGTATATGGTTTTCTCCAATCAGGACATATTCAATAAAATGTTAATTACTTAAACATTAGCTTTTTAACAATAATGATTTTTCTAACAAAATCAGCTTTATTGTTAGTTTTTAACTTATCAGATATATGACACTGTGCATTAGGTCCTGTTTTAAATCTTACAAATGTTACCTCATCTAATCCCTATCGTGAGGTCATATTATCAATACTGTGCCCATTTTACAGATAAGGGACATGAGGCACAGTAACTTTGTAATTAATGAGTCTTCAAACCAAATTAAAACCTAGGCTGTCTGGCTCAGTGTTTGTGCTCTTAACCACTATGCAATGTTGTCTTTCAGTTTTATGTCAAATTATCACCTCCACAGCAGTTCTAGATTCTTTTGCTTTTGTGAGCGTCTATGAAAGAAAATAGTATTTTTGCTATGTCACTTTGAAGGGATACAATAGAAACATGGCCTTATGCACTACATCCAGGTGGAGATTGATCTCTGGATCATTGAGTGCAGCTTCAGGTGTAGCCCAGAGCACTTTGAAATTATTTTTCCTAGGCATAGATACTAGAAACACTGCTTTCTAGTGAAAAAGAATATTCCAGATGGCAAAAAACTATGATAGTGACATTAGATTGATTATTATATTGATTCCAACCTCCACTCTTTGACTTTCATCAGAAAAAGATGGTGAGGGAAGCACAGCTCGCTTTTATTCTACAGGGAGCAAACTAGGAAGCTAGTTACTTAATTTAGCAAAATAAATATGCAGATATTCAGTAAAAAACAAAATATTCATGTGAATTCTTCTAGATTACTGACTGGCACTTTTCATTTTTCTGGTTTATTCTAAAACAATCCTTTTAATGTCAGTGGAATATTATATGAACATTTTGACTCTTTTTTTTTAATAAAACTTTTACTTTCAATTATTTTGATAATAGAAAGATCATATAAAGACCAAATTCCAGTTTTTAGACTCAGAAAATAATGAGACTAGCTGTCTGTAGAAAAAGTCAGTTTTTCACTTATCCTCATTGGCACTGAGTATTAATGCTTTTTAACTTTAAAGATTGGATATAAGAGAAAATTCTCTCAGTGCCAGTCCTTGAGTATTATTCAGTTAAAGATTATAAATAATTTTGTTGAAACAGTAGTGATGAAAACAATGAAATTCTAGGATTAGACTCTAAGTAATTAAGCTTAGAACATTCACAGGTTCTCATTCCCCAGAAACCCACAAGCAGTTGTGTCTTTATTCTGACTTCACTTTTTCTAAGTTATCAGCTTAATTATCAGAAGGTAGCTATGCATTCTGAGGAATCATTTGGATTGACTGCCAGTCTGTGTAGCATTGTCATAGCTGGAACGGGAATGATCTGTGATTTACATAGTTTAAAGGGTTCCCTTGCTTCCAGTCAGCAGAAACCCAACTGGAGGATATGAACTTTATATTTTAATTTCTTTGCTCCTCATAGGAAGCAAGGGTAATCTAGTGTTGATTTGTTCTTTTAGAAGTACTAATTTTAGAAGTTTAATATTTGCGTTGTATGTTTTGAATAGAATTAGTTTTGTGGTAATACAGTAGAGAGTTGTGTTTAGTGTATGTGTGTTGTATTTTTTTTTTTCTAATTTTGCGGCCTCTAGCCAGATTTACAACTTGAATAGGAATTAAGGTATTATAAACTTAACAGAAGGTATCTTAATTTATATTTTTTCACTATAAAGAAACCTTATGTTGCCACATCTAATATCAGGGAGCACATGCATGAATTGCATCTCCATCGAATACCATTAATATTTTTTCATATTGCTAACCTTGTAGAACACAAAATTTATAGGAATTATGCAATCAAGTTGAAAACAAATATGAAAGCTTACAGGATAAGGACAGGGTCTTTTACTTATTTCCCCCTGTAATCCAAATTATTTTCTAAAAATTATTATTAATTCATAAT